TCAGTGACAGCTTATTTTGACATTATTCAGTGATAACAGTGCAGACGAAAAATTGAATGCTCGCTGAGAGAAGCGAACTTCTTTCATTTGTTACGGAAAAGTTTATAAAAGTTTATAAAAATAATGAAATTTATATTTATAACAAATTAAATAATAAAAATGTAAACTCGTTAAAAATATTTTAAAAACTGCAGATGTGTTTAATGCCTCGTAATCACGTAATCATTACGTTAACGTGAAAAAAGAAAATGAAAAAGTCTTTATAAATATTTATATAAAGTATTGACAGATCATTAATCCTACATTACTCGCATGATTTCTTTAATGTAATTATTTGCGGGATGTTTCTGACACTTCAACATTTATATATCTCAATTTTTATAGTCTTCTTTAATAATTTACAATTAAATAAAGATTGATAATATTTTATACATCCTTTAGATGAAAATAAATATAAAAAAAATTGTTAATTGTGATACAGTTTACGCTAAATATAATAATGTGTATAAAGAGTATCTATAGATTTAGCGAATTTATACAAGGCATCTCAAACGAGTATAATAAAGAATTAAGAAAAAAAACTCTTTTGAAATTACTATAAAGAAAGAAAAAACAGAAATCACGCGAAGTTATGTCGGCTCGAATTTAAGAGCCAGAAAGATTTGAACTGTCTCAAATACAAGATTTGAAAAACTGATATTCAATTATTTGCGAGAAATTCTTTACTTGAACATATCCTCGTATTTCTCATGTGTTTATATAGAAGTCAAAGTTCTTACAAAATACACACGTTCGGCATAGGTATTCCTACAAGTGCGAGCTCATGAAATTAAATAAACTGAAGTCGAGTGTATTTCCTCTGTCGGCGAGTTCTCGCCCCGCCCTTTTTGCGGCAATCCTTTTCTCCTGCGCCGTCATGCACCTGCTATACCATGGAGAGAAACTCGGATATATAGTCATAATAAAGTCACGTTTCGTTGTAACGCCGGGGACGAGGACGCGATACATCGCGAGGAGAGGAGTCAACGGGGAAGCGGCGGCGAGTAAGGCGCCGCGCAATTTACAAAGCTGCATAATTGCATCGTGTAGCAGCAGAGAGAAAAGAAATGGAGGGAAAAAGGAAGAATCGACCGGTGCGTACGCGCGCGCGTAACATTGCTTTATTAACAAAATGGGATAATGCCACGGTGTGTGACAAATTGGGAGCAATGCACGGCGGCGGTGGCCGGAAAAGCCATGCATATTCATAAAACGATCGTCGGTGGGACCATCGCTACCGTCCTCCCTCTCTCTCTCTCTCTTTCTTTCACTCCATCTATTTTCTTTTTCTTTCTTTCTTCACTCACATCACTATAAACGGCTGTGTACACGGTAAGTTCGCGTTCACACGTGACGCGATCTTAACTCGCGTGAAGAGAACGCTCAACAATCTAAGAAAGCTGATATACTACCACCGTCCTTTTCGTCACTAATCGTTGAGAGACAATACCGCGGAAAATGCGTGTGGTGTATATCGTTGACTGACTTCTTCGACAATAAAGCAGGAAATCTCTCACGAATAATGGTTGTAATTTTTCATTGTGTAGATTCTTCGGAAAACCTATTGCGAAATTGTGTCTCATTTATTGTATTAAAACAATTCTAGAACACGGATTGATTATTATTATTATGTAATAGATATCGAGAAAAGATACGCGTATTTTTCGTATTACAGCAGAAAACGACGCGATTTACGCGACGGTCTCGCTCGATCACTTTTTTCATTCGTTTTTCGAACGGAAGGCGTGAGCCGATGGTCCATTTTCGATCGAGCCACCTGCACTTTCCAAAATAATGCCAGGTTTTTTTGAAATCACGTCGATCAGATTTTCGGCACGAGTGGTGAACGCACCTGTAACTTCGACATATTGGGTGGCCCAGATCGCGAGCGTTCCGTATTTTTACGAGCGGCATATCCTCTCGCGTTCAAAGCTTTAATTAATCAATCCATTACCCACAATTTGATTTCTGATCAAAAGAACCGCGATCGTTGATCGATATCTTTATTGCACTGTATAAAGCGTTTGCGTGTTTAAAATACAGTACTTTTTGATTTTTCTAATTAATTCCAACAGTTTACGCATGTTATCTAGATATCTCGTTTCGGCATCATTGTTTACACTCTAATGAAGATCTTTATGTTGCACAATAAATTATATGGGGCAAGTATCAATATTTTATTGTATTAAGAAATAAAATTCCTTTCGAGTAAAATAAAAAATATAAAATAAGGAGAATACAATAATATGAAAGAATATATTCTGTACATAAAAGAATATATGTATTTATTTTTTCCAATGACAAAATAGCTAAGATATAATTATATATCTTATAAGCTTAATTAAAACTTTCTCTCTTCAACTGCATTTTTATGAATTTTTAACGAATGCTACTGTATCTTCTCTCTAATATTCTACATATTTTTAAAAAAGTACTTCCTCACAATTTAGAAATATTTTTTTTAGATTCAAGTAAAATACACAGGAAAGAACGATTTTACTGAAATATCTAAAAATTTAGCTAGATACAGATCTGAAAATAATTTTATTATTAGACCATCAAAATTTTTAAGTAGAACGTTCAAACAGATTTTGACAAAATTTTGACATTCTAGCAATCAGTTTGAGTGTCCTTAAAAATTTTGATGATTTAATAAAATTATTTTCAAATCTGTATCCAGCTAAATTTTTAAACATTTCAGCAAAATCATTCTTTCCATGCACGATTAAAAAATGAATACTTTAAACTTCCGACTTCAGTTTTCTTTAAATTTGACAGAGCCGAATGTGGCGTATTGTGTCTTCCGACAGCATTAACTTGGTACCGTAACGCAGTAACTGCATGCTGCCAGATGAACATCTGAGATTGTGTGATGGGAACTTTATGCCAACAAATGCATTTATATAGCATAGTATAATACATAGTCGTAGTAAGAAACGATCAAGGCTCGTGAGATAACGGGCGACAACGAGGAGGAAGACGACGACGATTGGTTATCTAAAGATCCTTTGTCCTTTTGCCTGTGCTCGCGGTCAGTTTCCCTTTTTCTTTACGACCCCACAACGTCGCGTTTAGAAAGGACGGCCTAAGCACTTAGTTGTGCGGAGCTTGCTTGTACATCAGACTGTGCGTGCCACGCAAGCTCGAATGTCCATGAGTTTACGACGTGCCGCAAGATTGTGATAGGTCGAACTTGGAAATATGCCGCGATTACGATCGCACGGCACTGACATCGACTTCGCGAGTATTCTTTGCCCACAGCTCTCTCATGCGTTCACTTCACCGATATAAAGATTCGCCACGTGGCGCGTGTCACACACGAATGCATAGCTGAATAATTAAGAGGCGCAGTAAAAACGCCATTTCATGCGAATAAATAAAGATACTTATTGTTAACTAATTAATTCCAATGGCCAATTTAGTTTCAAGTAAACTCTATTTCAGCAAACAGATTTGATTACATAAGACACTGAAGTTTAAAGATCGATAATAAGCGACAAACTTTTTTGATATATATCTTCATAAGAGTGATTAATTTCAGATTTAAATGAAAAATCTGCTTGATCGAGTAGATAAGAAAGGCGGTACCGCGATACTTGCCGTATCATGCTCGCAGATGCATCAAAAAGTTGAATAATACGTATAGTAGAAAAAAAAGAGGCGATGATGTGGCAGATAATTGTATTACAATACTTATTGGCCACTGCAATACATATTCGATATAAGATAAATCGATTTTAGCAAATGTAAATTTCGGAAATATAATAGATAGCAACGTTCCGTCATGTATCAATAACAAGATAACGATTATTACCTTACATATTTTAAACAATTATGTAAAGATTAAGGGTTAGACAAAATTTCTGTAACAGTAACCTTAAGATGTAAACTTAAGCCAATGAGCCAATCGGGATACTGCTTTAGATCTACGTATTCTAACGGAAATAGAAATAGAAGTAAACTTATTCATAAGACGAGTTTCAGTTGAAATTCACCTTATTGCGAGATTATGGATAAGTTTATTGTTATTTCCCTTTCCCATAGATTACGTAATTTAAAGCAATATTCTGATTGGCTCATCGGCTTAAGTTCACGTTTTAAGGTTACTGTTACACGCATTCTACAATAAGCCATTAGTCATAAATCAGAAGTTAGAAGTTGGAAATTGACGACTGTGATTGGTCAATTTTCAGCTTCTAACTTCTGATTTATGACTAATGGCTTATTGTAGAATGGCCATTACAGAAATTTTGTCTGCGGTAGCCCTTAGATCTACGTAATCCGAAAATAAAAGTAGCAGTAAACTTGTCTATAAGGCAAATTTCAATCTGTTGAAATCGGTTATCTTACAGATAAGTTTATTGCTATTTCCGTTAGAGTACGTAGATCTAAAGCAATATCCTGATTGGCTCATCGGCTTAAGTTCATGTTTTAAGGTTACTGTTACAGAAATTTTGTCAGCAGCATCCTTAAAGTCTATGGCACATACAAAAACATAAGACGCAAACAGTAAGTAAATCATAACATTGGCTACTGACATTACGATTTCCACTGTAATTGGCCAATTCGCTTACAAGAACAGTACTTTTCATGTTCTAGACTTATTTTGTTTATATGCCAATTAGATTTTGTGAAGCTTTATAATGCTTGCTGCACACTGAACGCGATGAGCGATGAACGACAAGCAATATCCAATGAGAGCTCTTTTTTTACATTGTCACATGAGAAAAAACAGAGCTTTTATTGGATATCGCTTGTCACTCATTGCGTCCAGTGCAGCAGGCATAATGTCACATAACCACGATACTGTATCGTTCGTTATTAAGTTCGTTATTAAAGTATAAAATACGAGCAATATTTCTCTCATTGTACAACGACGAATTATTTATCTATTCCAACAGTAATATTTACATAATTTTGAGTTTACTTCTGATATGAGAAAGAGACCTTGCGAAGGAGCAGTGGAATACGATTCGTAAGCGTTTAAAGATTAACAGTTTTATATCACAACCAATGACATTTATCGGAATAAACAATTAGTATTGAGACAGTGACCGCTAAATGTGCGTCTTTTACGGATCGTAAATCGTCGTTGAATTGTCATATACAGAGGACGTAGACATATCCTAGTAAGTAGATAAAATCTTTACTCTTGTTGGTTATGCTTAGAAATTACAATTGTCTTGATTAGTGTAATTTTAAATCAGAATTATTTATTACGTTATAATTACATTATACACTCGAACCTCTATAAAAGTAACTTGTCAGAACCGATCGACCTCCGTAAAAGTAAATAAATGCACGTGCGCTACATATGTGCTCGATTATATGGGAGATTAGAACATGATTTTTACGGAAGTTAATTGTACAATCATAATTGTGTCTCCTTGATGACAAGCACAACCTTTAAATAATTAATATGTTCTGTTTAGAAACATAAATATTATCGTGAGAAATGTACAAAAAAGCTTCACTCTATCCTATATTTAAAGATGATTAAAAAGAACGAATGTCCAGATATTCGTACTATTTTTAGGCAGATTCATAATATTTTTATATCGAACATATGATTATCATTGTTAATTCAAAATTTAATTATGTTTAATTATAATCAATGCCTATATCTTATCTTATTATTTTAATACTTTCCCTCATAGTTCGTAATAAATTCTCATAATTCTGTTATTTTGAAGTTCATTTCTGTGTCACGTTTTGTTTCATTCTATAATTTTTAATATACAAAATGATAGTTATTAATTTCAGATTGATATAATACCATAATCAATTACGACCGAATAGATCAAGAAAGAAGTAATTAAGTTTCGTGTAGGAAGAAGTTGGACAGTATTTCATTATTATAATGACGCTATTACTTCGATACATTCTATTCGCTTCACTCTGCGGTAAGATAATCATTTCTAGATCGAGAATCTATAACTTATATCTGGAAATGTATTAAGAAGAATTATATATACACACATATATGCATGTGTGTATACAATGTCATAACTTAAAAAGTGCCCACAAACCATGTAATGCTATTCCTGATAAAAAACTAAGTCTAAACTTATAAACCATTTGCAATTTTCAATAGTTAATGAAATGTTAATATCAAAAGATTGTTGAATAAGCGGATAAAATTGATGCATACGACAAGTTTAAGATATTTTTCGATGTTCTTTATGAAATATTTTTTTTAGAGATGAATTCTTAACAATTTCTTGATCCTTTCGTACTTACGGAACATATATGTCTCATCTATGAAAAAAATTATAATTTTTAAACAAGTAATCCTATCGACTTTTACCTTGACTTATTTTAAAAAAGGTTCAAGTTACATGTAAAAAAATTGCATACTTTAAAACGTAATATTTTCAATAAAACATGATTATTTACTTTGCAAAAAATTAAATTTTTGGATAATAAATAACCGTACATTATGTCATATATTATGTTGAAAAATCGAACAAATCGAAAAATGAGTTAACAATATTTTAATGTATTTAAAAAATTGTATAATCAATCATAATATACTTTTGTTTCTAACATTATTAATTTCTTAATAATTATATATATATATAGCTTACTTTGATATATGTTAAAAATCTACGGAAAAACCTTGATTTCGGCA